CTTTTGAGAGCCAAATTTTTTAAACTTAAGCTATATAGGTAGGCACATTGTTATTAACTTAATTAGGGTACTCCTAAGGCTTAGGAAGAGCCACACTCAGGGGCCAAAGAGCCGCATGTGGCTCGAGAGCCGCAGTTTGCTGACCACTGCCCTAGATGATGATAATGATGGTGATGTACCACTTACTGCCTGCCTAATTGTTTTACAGTCATCATCTCATTACATTTACTTCGTAAGAAAAAACACCTGAGGGTGATAGTATTGTAATTTCCATTTCATAGGTGAGGAAACAGAAGTTTAGAGAGGTTAAGTAACTTACCAGGGTCACACAGCTGGAAAGTGATAAAGCTGGGAGCCAAACTTCAGTCCATACTATTAGCTCTTCTTCATTTACTCAGATATATTTGCAACACCCCATGCATGTGCAGGCATACGCACGCTTGCGCGCGCGCACACACACACACCCTGCCTTCTCAGTCAGCCCAGATAACGTGTCCATGGAGTCACTCTCCCGACTCTGACCTCCTCATATGCACCAGCCCCTCACAGCTGCTATGATATTCATGAAAGGCCCTGGCCTGAGCACATGTGAGCACAGCCTGCTGCCCACACAGGCCTCCTCCCTTCCTCTCCATATCCCCACCCCCAGCAGCTGCAGGCCCTGGCCCAGCTGGGGGTGGCCCCAGCATTTGGATGGGTGACTCAGGCTGAATCATGGCCCAGCTGCTCCTTGGCAGCCCTCTCCCCCATTCTGCCCAGAGAGCCAATTTCAAAGGTACAAGTGGGCCTTTTGGGTGGGAGACAGGGAGTGGGGCAGGAGGGGATGGGATGCTTGAGAGCCGGAGGAGTCGGGCAGGAGGCCTCTGAGCCTCCCCCGCTCCTCAGTGGTCTGTAGGTGCTCTCAGGCAGTCCCCACCCAGGTCCCTCCTTCTTCCAGGGAAAGGAGTCCTCTGGCTGGACACAGGCCAGGGCTCCCTTGGTAAGCCCGGGCCCATTTTGGCTCCCCTGCCCTACCTCTTGGCCCTAATAGTAGCAATAGCAATAGTAACTATTTGAATTAGTCACTCACACGTTACAGCACTCTGTGGTTTTCAAAGCACTTTCTCATCTGTGTCTCTTACTACTCCTCTGGGGTGGAAATCAGCATTCTTTCAGGCTGAGGAAACTGAGGCTCGGAGAGGTTATGTGAACTGTCCAAGGTCACAAAGCTGGTGAAGTAACAGAGCCAGGAAGCAAGTTCAGGCTCCCTGGTCCAATCTGTGGAAGGTGAGCATCAGGACCAGCAGTCGAGCTGCAGTTGGGCATGGCGGGGGGCACGTGGGGTGGCATGGGGACATGTTGGGATCATGGTGTGGGGCACAGCAGAGTGTATGGTGGGTGTATGGCAGAGGCAGGGCTGGTGGCTTGGTGTGTGACAAGATCATGACATTTTTCTCTTTACCCTTTCGAAAATAATGGATTATGGGATTATTTGTGCTCTTAGAGCTTCTTTTCAGCGTTTCAGGCCAATGTCCCAAGAAAGCCATGGAATTTCTACTGAGAAGACATGAGCTGAGACCTTTGCTTCCTGAAGCCTCAATTTCCTCATCTGAAAAAGTGGGTCCAGGCCTCCCACAGGGTAGGCTACTGAGAGGCATCAGGGAATGGCATGTATATTGCCTTTAGAAGTCGTGAAGGGCTTCACAAATCAAGGCTGCTGTTTTCCACATGTTTTTTTATCTTTTAGGAAACACATGTGGGTGCTGGGCGGAGGCTGGTGTGGGCTTCTGGGAGCCTGAGAGCAATGCTGAAAGGGGGAGTGGGTGACAGTTCTTCCTCCCCCCTGCCTTGGCTGGCCTGGCCTTCCCCCACCCTCAGCCCAGAGCCAGTTTCTAGGCAACAGGATGGATGCTGGGATGGTTCTGGAGGGGAGAGAGCTATAAATAGGGAAGGGAGACAACAAAAATAAAGTTCCAGGGGGGGTGGGGTGGGAGTGGGAAGCTGGGAGGGAAACTGGGAACGGTGGGGACACAGGGACAGCCCCCCGCCCTTCATCAGGGGGAGGGGGAGGTTTTCAGGTTCACCAGCCAGCAAATGTCCACAGAGTGCTGACATGGGAGGGGAGGGGTCACTGTGTGCACAACTGAGCAGGATGGGGTGACGAGGATTAGCCATTTCTTGGAGGGCTAGGGGAAGCTCAGAGGAGGGAAGGATTCCAACAGGCTGAGTTGAGGGCAGCTGTGGAGGAAAGAGCACAGGCAAAGAAGGGAAGGTGTGGATCAGGCGAGATGGGGCTGATATCAGCAGGCCCAGCAGGGCTCAGCCGAGCTGCCCACACACCCATGTCCTCGCAGACACCTGCAGGGCTGTTCCTGCAGCCCCTCACTTTTAAGAACAGAGTGTGTGTGCAACGCATGCTGTTGGATGACTAAACACATGACTAAACACACACAACACATGTGGGCAATATCCATGTACACACATCAACTGATACACTCCCCTCATGTACGTAAGTGTGCACACACAGCTCAACACCTCACCCACACAACCTCACTTGCAGTCTGCATGAAATTGCACAACATCTCTTATCTCCCCTCTGCTGCCCCCATGGTTTCCTTTATTAATGGTGTTGTGTGTTTATCTCCCCCAGGAGCAAGTCCCTTTGGGAAAATTGGGCTTTGGGATCAGGCTTGTGGCCTTTGTCACTTCCTACCAATGTTTCCCAGGGCAGGTAACTGCCTCTCTGGCCTCCATTCTCTCATCTGTAAACTGGATCTAATAACAAGGGATCATTGAGCACAATTTCAAGTGAAAGTAATGGAGACAGATGTCAGATGCCCGAGACAAACTGGGCACTTGGTAAGTAGCTCCATCCCTGTCACCAGGGAGGGCCCTGGAGTTGTGTGTTCTTACACGTGCATCCTCAGGCAGGGCTGCCCTCTGACACAGGGCTGCCCTCTTCTGCTGATGCTTCTGTGCCTGTGCCTGGAATACAATTTAAAAGTGACCCTGGCGGAAGACAACCTTGGTCTCTGACTAGAAACCAGGCTCAGAAAACCAGGTGCGTGGCTTGGCAACGGAGAAGGAAGAATAACCCACCCCCACCCTAAGCCAGATGGCAAACCTTGTTCTGGCATCTAAAACTGGGGATCCGGTGCTGGTATCTGGAGAGGAGGTGGCAAACTCAGATTCTTTAGCAGGCAGCTCATGAAAATGAGTGAACAGGGAGAGAAAGGGGCTATTGCCAACTGCAATCACATAAAAAAAAATTAAACCTTGTGCTAGCAAATTAAGCGTCTCTATATGCCAAATTCAAACCGAGGGCCAGGAATTTGCAATCCCCGCGTACTGTGGGTTGTAAATAGTGTCCTAATTCAATCAAAAGGGGTGTGGAGATCCTGGCACCCGCACATGGAGTCAGAGAAGCCAAGCCCACCGGTTTGTTCTCACTACACACACATCTGCCAGCCGCCTCCGACTTCCGGAAGCAAAGGCTCGGTACACTACAGGCCAAGGTGACCCCAGTGGGCGGATCGCCCGCAATGCTCAAGGAGCTCCAGAGCCTGGCACCCTCCCAGCCCCCACCCCCTCGGGGAAAGGGCAGCGCTAACACTTGGGGGGGGGGGGTTGACTGAATTGGTCAAGCTCCTTCCAGCCCAGGGCTGGAGTCCGAAAGGATGTCGGAACAGGCAGAGAAGGGGGTGAGCTCTTACACAGGCGAGGTTGGGGGTCCAGCGGCAAGGAAAAGCGGGGGTTCCGCTTGGGCCGGGCCGGGCTGCAGTGGGGATGAAATAAAGGAGCTCCATGGCTGAGAGAGCGGCGCATCGATGGGGGCGGGGCCTCGGCGCGGGTGCGGTGGGAGCTTCTGAGCCAATGAGAGCGGCTCCTTCGCCTTGACGGAGGCGGGACCTCTGCGCAGCCACGAGGTGTCTCCGCCCCGTCTTTCCCTTACCGAGGCGGTGTGGGGGTCCCTCCAATGTCGATACTGGTCTGTTCGAGTTTGCTGGCCGGCTTCCAGATTTCTGCAGACCCTCGCCCATCTCAGCCCAGGCCGCAAACCTCTGGGCGCCTTTCCGGGAGGGGTGAAGCCCGAGCTGTTTCTCCGGAGACAGCCGCCCATCTCCCGTCCCCTGGGATGGGTGTGTCTGCTTTGGGCAGGTGCGCGCGCGCGCAGGTGTGTGTGCGTGTAAACGCTCCGGGGAGGAGAGAGGTCTGTCGGCGCACAACATCGTCTTTCAGTGTCCGCGCTGCAGGTTTCCGAGGACTCCGCGGCGCGCGTGCAACTGTGAGTGTGCACGTGTCCGCGCGGGAGCGCCTGCCAGGGAGCGCACACTCCGGCCGGCGCGCACGCGGGTCCGCGCGCTTGTGCTGCGTGTGGGGCGAGGTGTGAGCTCGTCCACCCTGCGCTGCGGCGGCGCGGGGCTCCCGTCCTCCCTTAACCGGCAGCAGGCGCTTCACCGCCCAGCAGGTGGCTCCCGAGGCTGCCTCCCGCCTCCCAGCCAACTGCTGGTCCCCGCCCGGGAGAACCCTCTCCCCAGATCATTCCACTGGGAGGGTGGGAGGCTGAGAAGCGGAGGTCCGAGGTTGTCAGTCTCACACCTGGGCCGAGGTTGCCCGGCCCCAAAGAGGGGAGTGGGGCAGGTTGAGCCTTGGAAGTCCGTCGGCCACCCCCATCTGGCGCCCCAGCCCTGCCCGTGTGGCGCCGGCTACAGACAGGTTGACTTTATTCATGGACACGTCGGGGGCGGCTGGGCCGCCCGCCCAGAACACGCTCACACAGGGGCTGGGGGACTCTCCATGCCACAATCACGACACACAACGCCCGCGCTTGGACCGGACCGGCTGGGGGAGGGGTATGGCACAGCCTGACTCCTGGTTTTGGTAAAAAAAAAAGGTTTTGGGGTCGATGTGGGAGTGGAGTGGGGGATTCTGGAGGGGTCGCTCAGAGAGCCTCTGTTGGGTGGGGTAGGGCGCCGTCGCTTTCGGATCTTGGTTTAAAAACACATAGAACATGCTACATCCGCGCAGACACTGGACGGGATGGGGCGGGCAGGGCAACACAGGTGGGGCGGCGAGGCTGCCCCTGTCGTCTGCAGGCCAGGCCCTGTCCACGCCCCAGGGTTGGATGCTGGCGGGTAGGACAGACAGATGGACAGATACTAACACAGGCTCCGAGGGGGCGCCTTGGAGTGTAGGAAGATCTCGTATTTGGGGAGAAGGGGTTGAAGGACAGCCCTGGCTCTGGGAGGTGAGGCAGGGACCAGGAAAGAATTGTGCTGCTGGTGGGGGGCCCTCCTGGCCCCTTAGGCCTCTGGCTCATACTCTTGATACTCCTCCTGCATCAGAGGGATTGGGGTGAAGTGGAGAAGAGCAAAAGAGGAAGGGGTTGGGAACCAAGTGGCCAGGCTCTGGGCCTGAGACCTCTCCCTGTTAAGGAGGAACAGTGCACCCCGCCCCCCCACCCCACCCCCGCCAGGCAAGGAACTTGCGAGTTGGAAACAGCCTGGCCAGTCCTGGACAGGGTTCCCTGGGGCCCAGTGCTACACCCCATCTGTCCTCCCTCCATGCTAACACCTATGGGGACCTGGGTTCCAGGTAATGGGGACCTGAAGCTCTCTGGCCCAACCCTACCCTGCCAGGGACCTCCCACCCCAGCTGGGGATGGCAGCTATCCTCCGGGGTGCCCAAAGCCCCACCCAGCCCTGCTACCCCTCACCTGGGGCGATTCCTCATAGCTCACTCCTTCTGGCTCCATCAGGGGCTCTATCAGTGGCTCCTCCGCAGCTTCCTGGGCCACTTCCTCAGGCTGCAGGCAGAGAAGGGACAGGGCCTGTGAGGGCAGCCAGGGATGCCCCCCAAATTCCTACCCTGGGAAGCTCTTGGCTGATTAGGGGAAGGTGAGGCTTTGGTGGCAGTGCAACCAGAATTTCTAATTAAATTGCTTATTTGGAAGTGGGATGAATGCATGAGAAGTGAAATCCCTCCAAATCCTGCTTGAAGCTGGGGGTGGGGAGTGGAGCAGGGCTCGCCATACCCTTCTCCCCAGCACCTGGCAGACTCCTGCACTTCCATCATTTTCACTGATTGGGACGGGAAGATAGCACACACAGTCACCTATTTATCCCTACCCCCTTGCGTCAGGCTCTGTGTGGGGCACTGGGACCCCAGAGATAACCCTGGAGGCTCCTCTGGCTGGAGATGGAGGCTCACAGATGGGCTGGGTAGGGGCTCTGAGCCATTCCCCTGCCACCTTCCATCCATCCCTCCCCCGCGGCCCTGTGTGGCCTGGTTTCTTCAGCTGTTGCTATTTTAAGATAAGCTGGAAGCAACAGCTCAGTGGTGTTGCTTGGATGTGTGAGCTAAGACTCTAGTCCCTTCCCCCTGCACCTGCTCCCCAGCCTGGTGCAGACCAGTAGGCATGCAAATGAGGGGCTGCCAGACACATGGCCAGCCACTTGCAGGTGAGCACAGTACGTGCACAAACATGGGATGGAGCTGACTGCACACAGAATAACCTGGGGTCCAATGTACAGCTGCACAAGGCCACGTGGGCCGCACACACCTGGACCCCTGGGGAACCTGTAGGGAGGAGGGCATACCACCTCCCCCACTCCCACAAGTACCACTGTCCCTCCCTCCTGGGTGGAGATAAGACTCTTGGGATCCTGAAGGGCTGACATTGAGACAGGTCACGGTGCAGGGTAGTTGCACCAACTCCATCCAAGCAGCTTCAGCTCCTTTGAATTACCTGTCTAGGTGGGACCCTGGGCAAAGGAGTTCATAGCTCTTGACCTGACTCATTCCCCTCAGTGTCCAGATGGATATACCAAGGCCCAGGAGGTGGAGAAATGTTAGTCACCCAGGTATAATCAGAATCCAGGAAAGAAACATGGTGTTAAAAATCCCAACTTGAGCCCTGGCCGGTGTAGCTCAGTTGGGTGGAGTGTTGTCCCGTACACCAAATGGTGGAGGATTCGATTCCCAGTCAGGGTACATCCCCAGTTTCGGGTTCGATCCCCGGTCAGCACATTCAGGAGGCAACCGATTGGTATTTCTCTCTCACATCAGTGTTTCTCTCTCTCTCTTCCTGTCTCTGAAATCAATTTTAAAAAATTCCAGCTCAAGCACATTGCTTGGAAACAATTCAGAAGTCCAGTAAGACACATGGATTCCGCACAATAAATATGGAGACCAATAGTACATAGCACAGCTCCCTGCTGAGTGGAAGAAGCCGGGTACAGAAGAGCATCTACTTAAGGATAACATTTACAGGATGTTAAAAACACCCGGCTAATTTGTGATGCCAGAAGGCAGGAAGCATGGACAGGGAGGCAGGGCCAGGCTGCAGGTGGGAGAGTGAGGCGCTGAGGGTGCAAGTGTTGAGAAGGCACCCATTCTCAGCACCATGGAAATGAGGCCCCAGAATGAGTGCACCCCTTAAATTATGTGCCCCAGACACCTCCCTCATCTCACCCTAGTCTTGGCCCTGGTAGTAAGGACTGGAAAGGGGTAGAAGGTGGGCCTCCTGAAGGGCTGGTGTTCTGAGTCTTGACCTGGGTGCTGCTAACGTGAGGGTGTTTCCTAGTCTGGCCACTCACTAGCTGTCTGGCATCAGGGATGTCACTTCACCGCTGATCTCAGCAGCCTCGGTGTGAAGTGGGATGGTGTCTGCTTTGTAGGCGTACAGGAGGCTTCCATGATGCCGTACGTGAGCAGGCTGGGATGGGACACACTCAGGAGCACGCATGCTGGGCTCGCCCAGGTTCCCCCGTGCTGGGTGGCCCCAGAGGGCTGTGGTTTGGATTGTAAATCTATGATCTTGCACTTCCTTGAGAGAGGAGGCTTGAGGTGCTGGTAGGAGGTAGGCGGCCAGAGAAAGATGGTTCTGTGCAAATGCCCCTCACAAACAGCCCAGACCTGCCTCTCTCTTGCACCCCAGCCCCCAGCAGAGGTCCTAGCACCAGTTGGCATCAAGTGACGCCAGTGATATGGACCTGAGCTTATCTTCCCAACCACTTTCTCAGGGAGGCAGGCACGCATGGGGTCTTGGGCAAGTCACTTCACTTCTTTTGAGCCTCAGTTCCTGCATCTGTAGAATGGGCTAATTGTGGTGCCTTCCACATAGGGACATTGTGAACAGTCAATGAACTCCTCTATGTAACACGTCTAGAGCAGTGCCTGCCCATATAATAGGTCAACGAATGGGAGCAATCACTGGAAACATAATAATAAGAAATGAGAGGCCTTACAGTTGGTAAAATGCATGGGCAGGACTTGAAGCAGAACTTCCGAGCCAAGTCCCAGACCTCTGCTGGGGAAGGAACCAACAGTGCAAAGTGTCTGCAGTGGAGAATGGGGTGGGGTCTCCCTCAGCCTGATGGATACACTCACGTGGAATGCACACTGACTTCCCAAACCAGGTGCGGAAGAAGGAGCCCCCACCCCTCAGAGGCAGAGTCTGCCCCCGTAGGTGGACAGACATGCATCATCCCACAGGGGGATGAATGTCTGTGCAAACATATGGGCCCAGAGTGCAATACAGAGTGCATGGTACACCTCCATGCACACCTGTGCTCACAGAGTCCCTGGGGGCAGACACGGACCGCTCACATGGTCATGGTACCACTGTGTCTTACTGAGCACTCACTGTATGCAAGCCTGTCTCTTCACCAGTGCTTCTCACGGTGGGGTCTCTGAACCTGCAGCATCAGTATCACCTGGGTTCTTGTTAGAAATGCAAATCATCAGGCCCCACCTCAGACCTACCGGGTCAGAAATTCTAGGGTTGGGGCCAACAGTCTGTATTTTAACTTGGCCTTCTGGTGATTCTCATGTATGCTTCCGTGTTGAGGACCTCTGATCTATATTAACTCTAATCTATATAAGAGCCCTATTGTGTTCCTCTCCCATCTTACAAAGATTCAGGCTCAGAGACATGACGAGACCTGCCCATGGTCACACAATCAGGAAGTAGTGGAGCTGGGATTCAGATCCAGCTCTGTGAGGTTCCACAGCTCACAACGCTTATTCTGCAGAGTGTCCTCATGCAGGCACCTGTCTTATGCACACACGGATAGCCACCGCCACTACCTGGGGGGACATGCCTGCACAAACGTGTGACACACAACTCCCCCTTCCCGCTCCCCCCTGGACCTCACCTGCTCGTGCCTGTCTCAGGGCCTTTGCATGAACTGCTGCTAATGCCTGAAATACATTCCCCACTTGGCTTGCCTCATCCCTTGGGTGTCAGCTCAAATGTCACCTCCTCAGAAAAGCCCTCTTAGCTACAGCAGCCCCCGCATCCCTTGACTATCTATCCTATCACCCTGTTGTCTTTTCTTCATAGCATTTATCCCTGTCGGAAATAATCTTATTGATTGGCTTTTTACTGTCTTCTATCACTGAAATGTCAGGTCCATGAGCGCAGGTAACTATTCATTGCAGTAATCCCCAGAACAATTCCTCTCGGGTATAAATACTTGTTGAATGAAAAGAAATGAATGAACAATCAATGACACTTGCAGACGTGGCCAGGAGTGGTCCAGGTCACACTTGCAAGCAGGATACATGTGCACAGCCAGATCTGGGTGATGGTCACAGGGAGCCCCACACCTATACACCCCTAGACTCTCTAACAGGGCCCTGCAGAAGGCGAGGTAAGGTGGCTGGTTGGGGGGCAGGGAGCCTGGTGGCAGGTTGATGGGCACTGTGTACATTTGTAGTCATTCATGTGTGTGGTGGAAGGACTGCTCACCTTCAGATCAGTGGGGAATTCCTCCTTCTTCATCAGGCCTGTGGCTGCTGCGATGTTCCCAGCCCCAGAGAACATAGCTCCTCCCAGATGTGACGCCTGCTCCTTGGTTTTCTCAGCCACTAGAGTGGGGAGAGGGTTAGGGAAGGGGTTTGGGGGCCAAGGTGAAGGGGTTTGGGGGCCAAGGGGTCACTACATAGGTGTCCCCTCCCCTGTAGTGACCCGGGACCTGCCTTTCCCATGGAGCACCCCCTAAATCCTTGGGGGTGCCCTTTTCTACCACCCCTACCCCCACCCTCTGGAATCAGGCAGCTCTCAGGCTGGGGGAGGGAAAGGGGCTGTGCCAGGGCTGGGCTGGTACCTGAGGTGACGCCTTGTACCACCCCTTCTCGGGTCTTGTTTCCTGCAGGGAGATAAAGGGGCACATTTAAGGGCTGTGAGCTGAGGGGTCAGAGACTCTGGCAAGCACAGCGGTTACACAATGGGCAGAGGGACCTGCTTGGCAGCGGGCATCCTGGCCCCATCACTGCCTCCTTGGGCTTCAAAATCCTACAAGTCCCCCCTCATCGCTGCACTGAGCCCCCCACACCTACTTCCTTAGGGCGTCAGCTCTGCCCGCTGTCTGTTCCTCACCACCCCTACCTGCCCTGATACCTGCACCCTCAGGGGGCTGTTGTTTGAGCACCAGCACTGTACAAAGCACCAGTTCATTTAATTCTCTGCCAGGGCGGGGGAGCAGGTGAGGGTGGGGCTAGGGGGCAAACTGGCTATGTATTTGGAAAGGTGCCCCTGGTGCCTGACTGCCCACATCCTACTTATGGATGCTGCCATATGACCTCCACCCACTCCATTTCTCCTAAAGACTCTTTACTCCTAACAAGGGTACAGATTCCTCCTTCTGGCCGGAGTGGAGTGTCTTAGGTGCCTGATGGGTCTATGGGTGATGTGCAGGTTGTGACTGACACCTATGGCAGGGCTGGGTCTTCCCAGGAGAGCGGCAACTTGGTCACAGCAAGATGTGGGGCTGCTGGGAAAGGCAAAGGGGGCTGATCTGAGGTGAGGGGAGCCCTCCAGGGAGAGAGGAATCTCCTATCCTGAGGATTTGGCAACTCAGACAACAGCTGAGAGACCCAGAAATGAGAGTGTGGGTGGGCTGACACCCCTGGGAGGGGGGGGGCAGGTGTGGGAAGACAGGATTCTCACATCTAAAGCCAGCAATACCCAGGGACAGGGGACAGCTGCATGTGTACCCATTTCTTCCTCCCAGAAACCTTTTCAGGCACCTGCTCTGTGCCCGGCCCCCAGCCAATCCCTCACAGTTGGATGGAGTATGAGGAGAGCAGATTTGGTGCTCAGGACCTCAAGCAGTGGGGAGAGGGCCTCCAGCCTCCAGGGGTATGTGATCGGGGAGAGAGCATTGCCTGGGCTTGACAGATGGGGAGCAGGTGGATGTGCAGAAGGGAGACTGGAGAGGGTACTCTAAGCACAGGGAACCATGCAGGCAGGGCACAGAGGTGTGTGCCTGGGGCCTCCAGGAAGCACATCGAGGTGGTCCGTGTGCCTGCAGAGATGGGGATGGGGATGGTGAGAAACAAAGCTGGGAACATAGACTGAGGCGGGACCATGTCAGGCTACAGGGAGCTGAGGCTTCACAGGGTAGGAACTGGGAGTCATTGGAGGCTCCTGTGCAGGGGGAGGAGGCAGAAGGGAGGCCAGAATGGGTTCCAGTAGGTGTGGGCTCAAGCCTTTTCCCCGACTCCATCACCGCTGCCCTAGCCACCCTTGCTTGGTGGCTACACTACCTTCCAGGGGACATCCTGGGCTTTGTTCTGTCCCCAGAGGTCGCTGGGACCTTTCCAAACTGAAATCAGATCCTGTCAGTCCCTATCTTCTAATCTTTCGTGGCAACTATAATGCTTTGCCCTGGTCTCCAAGGGCCCTTCATGAACCAGCTCTTGCCCACCAACCATTCCCTTTGCTCTCTAGCCTCCGCCAACCCCATCCTGGCTCCTTATTCTCAGGACTCCGCTCCAATGTCACCCTCTTCGACCCCCCTCCCAAAGTGGCCCCCGCCCCAGCCCCTTGTCAAATCCCACTCCTGTGTCAGCATCAGGAGAGAAGGCGCCTTGGGCTCTCTTGTCCACTGTTACATCTCCGGGAGCCATGAAATGGCCGGCACATAGTAGGTAGTCAACAAGTATTTTCCAAATGACCACAAAGCCAAAAGCAGCCCTTCCGCCTGCACAGGAGACATTCTACCCACTGCACACAAGAAAGGCCTGAATCATAGGTTGGGTTCAGTACATGCCAGTTTCTGGGCCTTGCCTCCCTTTATACAAACGATGCTGCAGGCTCCCTCCTCTCTCGAATCTAGGGTGAGAGATTTAGCCACTTGGCCTTTGTCCTGATGCCAGCTGGCAACGTGAGGAGGGGGACCCGGAGGAGAGATGGCAATGGTGGAACTACAGGCACTGGGAGGCACGGAGAGCAACTCAGGTGGCAGTAGGTGGGGAGGAGGGCTGGAGGGAGTCCCAAAAATATAGGAGGGAGGCAGCAGGGGAGGGGTGGGGCCTTGCAGTCCAGAAAGCTTGGCTTCAACTCCAGCTTCCGATCTTATCAGCTTGTGTGACCTTGAGCAAGACAGTGAAACCTCTGGGGAGGCCAGCCCTGGTCTGTGGAATGGGCAGGAGAATTAAATGAGGGAATAGGTGCTATGGCATTTCACACAGTACTTGGCAGAGAGAAAGGGCTCAAAACCAGATAACTATTAATGGGAAGAAGAAGGAGGAGGAGAAAAGGAAGACGACCTGCTTTGATCACTCGCTCATCTCTGGCCTTTCAGCTGAATCCCACCCTCACCAACCCTGACTCCCATCCCCCCTCCCGTCGGCTGTGTCCCCAGTGACCCTGCGGACCCCGCTCCATCTGCTGACTCACTCTCCTGCGCAGACCCCCACCCCCTGGAAGTGCCCAGGCCCTCTCCCCAGCGACCCCCCGGCCTCCCGCAGCCCCGCCCCTCGCCCCTCGCCCCTCGCCCCTCGCCCACCGACGTAGAGGACGCCCTCCTTGGTCTTCTCCGCCGCCTCCGTGACCCCCTGCTTGGTTTTCTCCGCGGCGGCCACGACGCCCTCCTTGGCCATGGACAGGCCCTTCATGAACACGTCCATCCTGGCGGCCTAGGGTGGGCGAACACACGGCACGGGGCGCTGGCCCTGCACCCTCACCCCAGCGCTGCCCGAGGGACGCGGTGGGGGGCTCCCCGCCCTCCGGAGATGCGGGCGCGCTTCCGGTTCGGACCCCCTCCCGCCGTTCCCAGTCCCCCGCGCGAGGCCACCGGGCAGTGGTGAGTCCCAGCGTCCTTGAAACCCCGGGACGCGGGAGGGGCCCCCGCCTCGGTTACCCGGGAACCCGCAAGCTGCAGCCCCGCGGCACCGGAGTGCCGGCTCTGCGCCTAACTGTACACACACATGCCACCCGGCCGTGCATGCACACAGAAATACTCCACGGACACGCTCACGTGCACATACAGGACACCCAGGCGTTCTACCGCGCGCGGGCACCCCGACACGCACGGACACACGGGCGCGGGCGCACGGCTACACGGCCACCCAGGCGGCTGCAGACACTGAGCAGCAGACACACATGCCCCGGGGCGCACAGGGAGAGGCGCCCACCGGCGCCCCTTCTCCGTTCTCCAGCCCCTTCCCCATTTCACCCGGCCCCTCCTCATCCCCAGTCCCTTCCGCGTCCCACCTACTCCCCTCTCCATCCCCAGTCCTTTCCGGGTCTCCGCTCCCAGAGCGCGGCCGCCTCACCTGGATGCGGGGCCGAGCTGGGACAGGAGCGGCTGCGGCGGGAAGACGCAGGGGCTCGGGTAGGCCGGGCCGGGGTGGGCTCGGGGCCAGTGGGGGGATCGGGCCGTGGCAAGGCGCTGAGGTCGGTCTGCAGCAGGCGGACACAGGACCTGAGCCGGGAGCAGCAGTGCTCGGGCCTGGGGTGCGCCGCCTGCCGCCGCTCGCGCCGAGAGCCCCACTTGCTCGCGCTCCGGCTCCGGCTCCTGCGCTGCGGCAGCTCTGAGCTCAGCGCGCCGCCCCCTCGGCCTGACTGACAAGGGGGCGGGGAGGGTGACATCTCCACAGAGCCCGCGGGCCTCCCAGGCGGAGCCTGGGACGTGCTGTGGGGGACCTCGGGGCGTCAGACTCGCGTCCGGCCCCCAGGAGCCCAGTCTCATGGGGAGACAATGCAGCATGCTAAGAGTAGGGAAGAAACAGAACCCACTGGGAGCTCAGATGGCTGTGCTTTTAAAAATTAACCGTGGGGCCCTGGGCTACTCAGCTCTCCTTTCTGAATGTTTCCTCTTCTGCAAAATACAGATGGTTTATTCAAAGGACGTCTACTGAGCGTTTACACAGGCGCCAGGCTGGAGACAGCAGGGAAGGAAAACAAGGTTCCTGCACTCGAGCAGCTTATAACGTGTGTGTGTGTGTAGAGATGGAGCACAGGACAGACAATTTAAGCCAATTTCAGCTCGTGAGAAGTGTGATGAAGAGAATAAAATGGTGATGTAACGGAGTGACTAGAGGAGGGATTCTTGAGACAGGGTGGTCAGGGAAGACCTCTGTGAGGAGGTGAATGGATGCACAGACCCTGGCAAAGGCACCAAGGCCAAGATGGGTGAAGGCAGGATCCATAGAGAGGGAACTGCAGGTGCAAAGGTCCGGAGGCAGGACTATACTTCAGATAAAAGGCAGTGCAGCTGGAGAGCCAGGAGGAAGGGAGAGGAGATGGACTTGTTGTATGGTTATGGTGGGGATGGTCAAAATGGTCATAGAATTCCAGCCACACACACGCCTTCACTGCTATGACAGAATTATGCCCAAGAAGCTGGGATCCCAGAGGAAGGGACTCTGACAGCTTAGGGCAGTCATGGAAAGCTGTACAGACAGAGGAGGTGACATCTAAGCTGGGCCTCATGGGTGAGGTAAGATTTCATCTGACAGACAAGGGAGGAAGAGAATGTTAGTCAGTGGGTACAGCCTGGGCAGAGGCACTATGGCTAGAAACACAGGGTATGTAAGTGACAGGTGATGTGGGGGCAGCTAGCAGCCAGTGTGTTCAGGGCCTGGGGGGGGGGGGTGGCGGGGGGAGGAATGTTCACAGGCCGCTGGTAGAGCTGCAAGTTGGCGCATGCTTTTTGGAAGGCAATTTGGCAATGTTTACCAAAGACAGAAATGCATGCTCCTTTCGAGCCAATAGTTCCCCCTTCCAGGAATGTATCCCTCGGATCTCTACTCACACAAGCACACAAAGACATGTGTGCAAGGATAGTCACTGCAGCATGGCTTCTTGTAGCAAAAAACTGCAAAGAGCCTGTATGTATATCTGTAGAGGACTGGCTAGGCAATTGCGGTATATCCACTTGGTGAAATGCTATGTTACCTAGAAAGGATTTGCCAGGCCCATGTGAACTGACACAGGTGCCAAACTGTAAGGTGTGGGACAAGCCAATTTTGATTACATAGAAAATTATATATATCACATGCTATATTCATTATAAAGATACCTTATATACAAATCTATACAGACGTACTCATATCTGAATATACAAAGAACACATCTGCAAGGACTTTTTTGAAAAGTATTTTTATTGATTTCAGAGAGGAAGGGAGAGGGAGATAGAAACATCAATGATGAGAGAGACTCATGGATCAGCTGCCTCCTGCACACCCCACACTGGGGATCGAGCCTGCAACCAAGGCATGTGCCCAGACCGGGAATCGAACTGTGACCTCCTGGTTCATAGGTCGACGCTCAACTACTGAGCCATGCTGGCCAGACTGCAAGGACTTTTAATAAAACCATTAACAGTAGTTGTCCCTTCTCTCCCCAAAAGGACTTAGAGAGAGCTTTTATATTTCATCACCTTTGATTATTTTACCTTGAATCGTATTTTACTTGCATAATTTTAAGAGCTAGCACAGGAGATACCTATCATTATCATTGGCCTCTCAGCATTAAAATTGCCCCCTTCCTATGTTTGGGGAATCCCCACCTTCTGAGGCAGAGCCCACCTCCTCCTTTAGGCACTCCCAGTGTTTCCCCAGCCTTCCTTGCAGCCAGGACCTGCGTGTGACCTCAGCCCCAGACTCTGAATCTGAAGCTAGTGCCAGAGCAATAGGAATGAGGGGCCCGCTCTGTGAGGACAGGTGGTGGTGGCGGCAGCTCCTGCCAGGGACTACCTGCAGCAGTGACGCTGCTTCTGGGAGCATCCAGCGCGACAGCCCAGCCAGAGCATCAGGGGAGTCTTCCTGGGCCTGCTTGGCAGTGTGCGTTGGGGCGTCATTCCAGGCTGGGTGGTCTCCAGGGAGAGTTCTCTGGCCTTCCCAGAGAGTTTCTGAGCTGCCCAGTATTGGTTAATAAACTCATCTGCTTAAATTAGCCAGAAGTGATTTCTGTGATTCATGACTAAAAACCCCTGAATGTCCGAGTATGTGATGAGGAAGGACCCAGCAGGAGAGAGAGGAGGAGGAAGAGAGATAGAAGACCAGATGAAAGGTGTCTGTGCTCCCAGAACTGGGAAGTCACTGCAGGATTTTAAGCACAAGAGAGACCTACATGAGATTTTCATTTTATAGAAACAAATTAGGGTGGGTTGGAGGGGGACATGGCTAGAAGCAGCAAGATCAGGGAGGAGGCTGAGGCAGAATCCACAGGAAGGATGACAAAGCCAGTGTGTGTGTGTGTGTGTGTGTGTGTGTGTGTGTGTGTTATTTGGGTATCATTCAGGAGGTAACTTATCAGGTGCTGGGGAAGAGGGAGAGGGATGAGTCTAGGAAGATTCCCAGCTTCTGGCTTGGACACAAGGGTGATTAATGCTGCTGTAAAATGAAATAGACATTGAGGGGGTGGAGCAGTATTGGGGGGAGTGATGAGCTTGTTTGGGGCATGCCAAATGTGCGGTGCCTGTAGACAAACTAGAGGAGGTGTCCAGCAGACAGCAGGCTGTCAGCCCGGAGCTCAGGCATTCACTCCAGGCTGGCTTCAGGTATAGATCTGGGCCATGGTGTATGAGGAACTTTTAACACACGGCTATCCAAGAAGGGGAGTACCTTGAACTGTAGTTTGCTGATACCCATGGTGTAAATTCTCCTACCATGATTAGTTTCAAGTTTTCAATGTGGTGTCACTGAACAGAGAATTGGGAAGAGATATGCTGTATTTTCACCATCAGATAAAATAGATTTAAAAATGATCTTAAGCCCTAACCGGTTTGGTTCAGGGGATAGAGAATCGGCCTTCGGACTGAAAGGTCCCAGGTTCAATTCCGGTCAAGGGCATGTACCTTGGTTGTGGGCACATTCCCAGTAGGGGGTGTGCAGGAGGCAGCTGATCGATGTTTCTCTCTCATCAATGTTTCTAACTCTCTATCCCTCTCCCTTCCTCTCTGTAAAAAATCAATAAAATATATTTTAAAAAAATGATCTTAAGAGCATAGATAATAGTAAAATAATTAGAAATTTGTTTTTATTATGTTATTATATTTGTTTTATATGCTTATTATATTTGTTTTTAACATAATTTATATCATTAAAAGTTTATATTATTTAATTTTTAATAATGGATTTTAAAGAATAGTTTATTGTTTTTAGATAGAAAGGAAGGGACAGGAATAGAGAGAAACATCAATGTGAGAGCGAAGATTGGCTGCCTTCTGCACACACCCCACCAATGTGCCCTTGAGTAGGAATCCTACATCCCTTTGGTGCACAGGATGATGCTCAACCAACTGAGCCAGGGCATGGCTTTTATAAATGGCTAATAAAATTCCTGAAACTTTAATATTTGTTCTCACCAGCTGGTCCAAACTAGCCCAGTATACCATTGTATTTCTGCTTTCTATTTCCCTGAATAGGGTGATTTAAGCCATTTACCCTCTGGTTGGGGAGGAGAAGTGTAACCATTTACCCGTAAGTGTCCTTGGTTACAGAAGATAGGATTTTGTGATTTACTAAATGGCTGTAAACTGCTCAACCATTTAACTATCTATCTCAGTTTCCCTATTCCAGGCTTACTGGCCTGCTCATTCCCCCCTCAGAGACTTCCATCCCTGAATTTTTTTAGGGGTGATGAGGGAGGATGGTCTTCAGTAACTGCTTCCTGCTGACAAAGGCTGTGGTATCTGCCTCTAGATCAGTGGTTCTCAACCTTTCTAATGCCGTGACCCTTTAATACAGTTCCTCATGTTGTGGTGACCCCCAATTTCATTGTTACAAATTGACCATAATTAAAGCATAGTGATTAATCACAAAAACAATATGTAATTATATATGTGTTTTCCGATAGTCCTAGACGACCCCTGTGAAAGGGTCGTTCGACCCCCAAAGGGGTCGAGACCCACAGGTTGAGAACTGCTGCTCTAGATGGTATGGAAGTGTCTCCATGCATGATCCAAGGGGGACAAGGGCATGGGATCTGAGACTGGAACAGAGAGGCTATTATCTGATTCTTCTGAAGTAGGCATAAACTGAATCCATGAAGCATTATCATCTTGATATGGAATTGCATCCCAGAAGTGACAAATTTGACAAGAAAGTAAAAAAGCATGGTCTGAAAATGAGGAGAATTATAGTTATTTAAGGTCTGAGGAGAGGTAAGAACCAGGTGATAGAGGGAGGGACTGACTTTACAGTATTGGTGGACGGGCTTCCCTGGATGAAGGTGTGTCATCTGCCTGAAGCCCTTTTGTTCACTATATTTAATTTAAATTAGGTAAGGCAAACACCTTAAGACCTTTTTCCTGAAGTAAGTTTATTTATTTATTTTTCATCTGAACCTCTTGGCCAGGATGGG